GCATCAACTTCATAAATAATGGTGCCTAATGACGGGTTTTTGTGGAACAGCTTTACCTAAGCATCAGTTTCATAAAAAGGGAAGTCCTGGGAGCACACTTTTTCATCTTTTCCGTTCTTTACTGCTCCCCTTCCCCCTCAAATGTACGTTACTTAGTCAATCGGCAAAGGATCTGCGGCGTTTAGCTCTTATATCCACCTATTCTAGTCCCCCTCCCTTGCCTTGAACGAAACCCGCCACATCCCAGCCCCACTTCCATCTCCTACATTCAAACTGCCGCCATCCGCCGTGGGGCGGCCCTACCTGCCGACCCCGAGTAAAAATTTTTGCGGCTTGTGTATGAGACGAGTCAAGCCGAGCCGAGCTATTGCAACTGCCTACGCTTCCATAGCAGCCATGCTAAGCCTTCGATTCTGGGCTGCATACCTCCAGTTACGACCCACCGCCTATTCGATGTATATGTCCCACCCCTTCAGGGATTGTCCGAGTAGTCGTTTCCTTTCTCGTGGACACCACTCACTAATGCGCGTTGTCCACTGGTTGGCGTCAAGGTAGGCAACATGTCCTGCCTATCGGATTTTATTTTCTTGCTTGGCCGCAATGAGATTTTGAATGCCATCCATCCGACGGTGAGTCTAATTGTTTACGGAGAATTCTGGCTGAGAATTTTACGAAGAATTTTATTATAGCTAGTTGAAACATTAATAAAATGATTCGAGATAAAATCTTCGAAAAGTGCACATATAAAAGACAAAGACGAAAAAGTATACACAGTCTGATGCGGCAAAGATAAACTGAGACAAGCTAACAAAATAAAGCAATCTGACAAAGTTGGAAACATTTGAGATTTCAAATGGTAGTGAAAAATATACTGGAAATTAGCAATTAAGTCATTGATGCTTCGATAGTGCACCTTTCATCTGGAGGGAGGAAAGCGCGCTCCGAGGTACGTTTCAAGCCACTCGGCCACGATTTAGGATTTTCAGAGAACTTCAAAGCAAAGAAACTTGGGAAGGAAAATGGTCGAACCAAGAGTGCACCAGTATGGACAGTGACAGTGATC